AGAATTTTTTGTGAAAAAGGCTCCAAGATCAGTCCACTGCTTGCTAGCCAGTGCTTGGTTGAGGGTTAAACTAGACTGAATAGTAGTGTTTGAATCCATACAGAGTATGACCGGTTGCTGGCCCAGGGATGCACCATAATTGAAAAGCTGAGTCAAGAGACGTTCGTTTTGTGTATGCTTCGCATCATTACGGCGATTGACAATGCCGTAGAAGGTGCAAATATGCAAGAATCTCCGGGCTAGAGCTCCCTGAGTACTTAGGGGAATTGCTACCGTGGTCCATCTAGTACTTTCGTACAAAACTTGGGCAGCATGCCCTTCACGGCCAATGGGAATGAGCGGAAGAAATTGTTTGGAAAGAATTCCAACGCCACCATAAGTGGTCTTGCCCGCTGCACGTCTTGCCGGCATTCCGAATTTCTTGGTGGGATTCGTTGGTGGTTTACCCCAAACTGCGTGCCAAGGTTGGGTCTGGGCAGCTAAAAATTTTGCTTGCTGAATTGCACCAACTGAAGAAACACGTGCTTCTTGGACAGCAATGATGTCTGCTCCGCATGCGAGCAGGGATTCTGAGTGGGAAGCCCAAGATGCGGCATTAATGGATAAAAGGGTGATGGTGTCATAAGGCTGATGCGATTCTAGAGAGGTCTCTACTTCAGGGATCGATGGAGACCCCGATTCATTCACATGGGGGTTAGTATCACCAGTAGTTTGACATGCTGATCGATAATTGGCTAGTCTTTCTATAGCCTTAAATGAAAAGAATTGCCTGTTGGATACCACTGGAGAGTGTCGGTATAGAACTGCATCGAAGTGATTAACTCCATTATGGGTCAGTCGGATGGGCAGTCGGTCGTTATCAGAGTATGATGCAAAGTTTTGAATACCGTAATTGGGTGTAAATACAACAAAAGGCCGCTTCAAAACAAAACACAGTGATTGGATGCACAGTTCATCTGCGAAGACACCATCGTTGTACATCTCAGAAGTATATTGCACCAAATCTGCGTCAGTATGAAAACAATTCCGCAAGATAGGATTGTTACAAATGGAGTCGACGCATTGCTGGCGTAGTACTGCATGATGCATGAAGATACCAGAAATGTCTTTGAGGCTTCTGGAAACAGCTCTGAAAAAACAATTGCCATCACCTAAGACTTTTGCAAATGAAAATCACTTGGGAGTAGGTTCTCGAGAGTGGAGTCAAGCTCGAATTGTTTTTTTGCTGCTTGTTGCGCTTCAGTTAGTGAGAGTTTAATTGCTTGTTGCAATTCATCTTCCGAGAGAGGCAGGTGTTTTCCACCACCCCTCATAGGGGCTGGCTGGAGATCATCTATTTTCCCGATACAACGGGGTTCATGTTTGAATTTCGAAAACTGTTTTCGAGTAAATTCTACTTTTCATCTAGTGAAATCACTTGCCTCTGCCTTTCTGCATTTTTCCATTATCATATTCAGTTAATGCTTTCAGCGGTGTATCTCTTTCCGGCTAGCTGGCTTGGGCGAAGTGCTAGCTGAGGCTCCCAAGCTGCGCAATGCATGCATGATTTCTTGGTGCTGTTGGCTCATATTGGACTCAATGGTATCCAACCGGCTGTCTTGGGCGTTGACACGCCGATTTAGGCGCTCAACTTCTTTCTGCAGGGCATCCAATCTGGCTATTTTCCATAGGTTTCTTGTCTCTTTGGAGTGCCCTTTTTCCCTTTTCCTTTAAATCCTTTTCCGCCAAAATCATGCTGATTCGTGTCAAATTCTTGTCGTGTTGGAGGTTCATGGATCTGCTGAATGAGTTTCTGCCAATATTTTTGAACGTCTGGCTGCCTTGGCAGATTCATTTGCTGCAAGCAATCGCTGTTGCTTTTCTTTGAGAATTTCTGCTTTACTTGGGAGTTTCCGAATTACAAGCTTGATTTTGCCATGCTGCAAGATCAAGCGATTCAATGTTGGTTCTGTGTCGGCTCTGACCAACCATGTGCACGAATTATTTTTTATGAGCTGCTTAAAAGGAATTGTAGCCCATGGGGACCATACATTTTCATCAGTGGTGCTGTTCAAGAGATTTACGACACTGGTAGAAGACGTACCATCGGGGAAGCCGCTCACTTCATAAGCCATGGTGCCAAATACATGCGAATTGGCAGCTGAGATTTTCGGATTTGGCTTTTGCAAAGTCTGACGAGCAACTGTGATATGTTTCAGATCGACTCCTGACTCCTATCGATCCCTTGGTAGCCACAAAACCATGGATCCCGGACAAAGTATTGGCGACAAGCGAAAGGGCTGAGATCGTGTCAAATTTGGACCAAATGATGACCGTTCCAGCTTCCTCGGGCGGTGTTTCACCTCTGCGTACAAATGGTCGGAAAAAGAGCAACCCATCCTTGCAGTTGTACAACCGTTTAGACTGATCCTTTGTGGCTCGTAAGCATCCATGAAACATGCCATTGTCGGTGGAAATTTTGAAATTTCCAAAGCTCCAAGACGTTTTCCTCGACATTCAAGATACCGGCAATTCGCTTAATGATATCACGTCTTGTCTGTGCAATCGAGGGGTGGACAGTGGCTGTCCTTGCCGAGGACCCTGAGCAGCCGCAGGGCGTCGCATACCTTGTCGAGGGGGTCTTCGGGGGGCTGGGGGGGGAGGGGGTGTTCCCATAGGGCCTGCGAAATTCTCAGTCCATGCAAATGCATGGGGTGAAATCCTACCCGCCGCCCCCCGACCTGCTAATCTGTCAGCTGCCTCATTTCCGTAAATATCAGTGTGCGCGCGGACATCTTTAAAATCAACCTGAAAAATCCGTCGCGTAGCTTCCAGCAAGGATGCAACCGTATCAATGAGTTCTGTATTTTCGCGACCCTTGGTCAAACGCGTCACCACCCCATATGCGTAGGTTGAATCGTAATAAATAGTAGCCCTTCTAGGGTGATCCTGGGGGAGTTGCTGGTGTATCCTTAGAAGGTACCGACATGCTTCCCCAATAGCGCTGACCTCGCCTGTGTTATTGGAGTGTACTCTGGCTCCCAGCCAAATGGGGTCGTAAGGTGTGATGTTCACTGGACCATATAATGCTGCACGCCATGTGGTGGTCATGTCTGGATTTTCAACATCAAAAACTGCGACTCCCCACCCTGCTTGCTGTGGTGCCTCCGCAGACCCGCTACTACCTCCCGACCCATCTGTGTATATGTGCCAACTTTGTGGAAGAGGAGGGGTAAGAGATGTGTCTGGTCCCGGGACCTGAGCTTCATCATCAACTTGACTGAATCTAGGCAATAAAACAGCTGCTGCTGGGCATCTGTGTGTCTTGAAATCACCGGCTCGACGGTGAGTCTGCAAACACTTTGAACATGGAAATGACTGGACTGTGGTCAATTTGGGATCACAAATGGCATGCATAGCTTCATAGTGAAAAGCTAATAAATTGTGCTTGTTAAATATTTGTTGACAAACTGGACAAGTCAGTGTGCCCCCATCCCTGGCGCGCACGCGATTTTCCTGAGGAAGTTGTCCATATTGTCGTCGTTCTACTCTACGCTGATCCCCCCCACGTCGGCGCTCCCCTAATTCATTATCACTATCTTCATAGTTTCGTTCCCCTTGTGGTTGGTTGTTCCGAGCCCAGCGTGGGATGGGTTGTCCTACACGCCATGCATCAAGTTCCTTTTCTCTATCTAATAATACTACTTCTTTGGGGTATGCTTCATGTACCACTTTTTGCCATTGCGCGCGATTCTGTGCTAGACGATACCAGTCGATTTCCGATATATTCGCGTCGCGCAAACACGCGTTAAGCCATTGAGCCTGCTTGAAAGGGCTGTGTTGCTTTGCCCCTGCGTCAGAAATCCATCCAAACAGCAATTGTTTTTGCGGTGCGGAAATTTCCATCCTTGCTACGTGTCCAAGCCATAGGAGAGAGGCGCGTCGGGCGGAGGTCAGGAAAGGTTCCCATTGCACCATACGGCATAGGATCGCATTGCTGAGTCGCATCTTCTCAGGTTGTATGTGCGCACATTGAACGCTCTACGTACGGCGAGGTTAATGACCGATTGGAGTCGATTCACCTGACTTGTTTGCCATGATCGTGTTCTGACAAACGAGAATAGGACCCCTTTCACGACGGCTTTGAGCACTCGGATGCGCACTGACAATTTCAAATCACGTCTACGGGTATGCACCTGACGGCCCTTGGACCATGCTGCTGAAACCTGTTCTACACGTTGTATACCCTGACGTACCGCTCTATCCGTCTCGGCTGTGTGTCCGGCGCGCTCAGATAGGATGGCTCCGACGTGCTTTACTACAGTGGTTTCACCTTGGGCTGGGACATCATACGCTGGTCGAGCTGTTTGACATACACGAATACCCTCTGTTTTGTGTTCATTGACTTTACCTGCAAAAGACGCTACAGTTTGACTGAAGAGGGGCTCTGCTTGCCTAATTTCTTCCGCTAACCCTATGATCGCTGTGTCATCTGCGTACGCAAAATCGCCGACTCTTGCGTGTTTTGTGTGTCGACCCTCATCATTTCTATCATTACGACGTTTTGCTACTCGGCCATCGACCTTGTATGTGATGTTAATCCCGGGATTGCATCGATATTCTGGGCTGCACGCGTGCGTCGTGCGCGAAAGACCTCCATGAGAGAATCGTGAAATACATTAAATAAGACAGGTGATGACGGACAACCCTCGCGTAGACCTCGGTCAGGTATGAAAGTGCTTGACATGAAACCCTGATGACGTACTTTGGTGTGAGTACCATCATGAATTGCCCTCAGGGCCTTCAGGAACTTGGGGGGACATCCCTTTATTGATAGAATTCTCCATAGTGCGTGACGGGGGACTTTTGGATACGCTTTTTCCAGGTCGAAAAATTTGAAAAGGATTGTGTGTGGGTGTACCGATTGGGCTGCCTCCTCTAAGAGTCTCCTGGTTACCTGGTGCACGTCATCGACGCCTGATCCAGATCTAAATCCAAATTGCATCTTGTTGAGCCACGGATTAGCCCACCTCTGCAACCTTGCAGGACATATCCTGGCCACTAATTTACTACCTACTGAGAGAAGAGTAATTCCCCGCCAATTATGTTTACTACTTTTGGGGTGCTTCCTCTTCCAGAGAGGAACCGTCAAACCGATTTTCCATTGTGTGGGCCAGTTCTGAGCCTCGTCATTGTCTGGGGCCTGTGTGGCCGCATTCCAGCACTCCTGTGTGATACGAAAAACTTCTTTGTGAAGGTGAGGGCCCCCGAACTTCAAATATTCCGCTAACATACAATCTTCCCCCCCTGCTTTGCCTAAGCGCATGTCCCGGATAGCACGAACAAATTCCCCCCATGAAGGTGGGTCATCCAGAAAAGTGGCTGTCTCTCGTTGTGAAATGTCTGGCCAAATTGTGTCATCCACATCCCCGATACCTTGTTGTATGGCTTGAAAATGATCCTTCCATTCCTCCACCTCGGCGGGGCTACCTGCCTGAATACGACCTCCATCTCGATTGCCTTTGCCTACCGCTGCTTTTAGTTCTTTGACTAATTGGAAAACTTTGGTGCCGGCTGGGGTATTCATAACCCGGTTGGCCTCCTCAGCTTTCTGTGACAGCCATGTTGTTTCCCACGTTCTGATCTGTTGGGCCTTAGCTTTTCGTGCGTTCTGTAGAGCCGCGCGGCACTGCCGCATGAGTTGTGGTTCACTCTGCCTGCGTGCTGCGCGATTCCTGTGCTGTGCATGCGCGATGTTAGTATCCAACTGTTGTATCTCTGTACCATGATAGCATAACCAAGGGGCCCCGTGACGAAGTTTCAGTATGCCACATACTTCGACAGCCGCTGTACGGCACAAATTACAGATTTCTTCCCAATTGGGATCTCCCGACAAATTGGCTAGTTTTGACTCCACTTGATGCACCCATCGCGCGCGGAGGGTGGACGCCTCTGCATCCTGCCCTCACATGCGTGCCACGTCCGGCTTAACTACTTTCGAAGGAATGTGCGTGCGTGGGCTCCAATGTTTGCCTACTTTTAAAATAAGCTCAACTGGGTTGTGATCAGTGTATGTCGACCAAGGTGCTGTCACATTGCTACCTTCAACAAGGAACCGACATTGTTTCAAATGCCACACATCAACCCCTTTCACCAAGATGTGCTCTAATTCATGTTGTGATAGGTACCTAGGGTGGGTCCAAGACACCCTGTTTCGACACTGAAAACGACTGGCAACGTCTCGCAAACCATGGCGCGAGCACCAGTCCCGCCATTCTTGCCCTGGTACTGTGATTTTGAGAGTGGAAAAGGGCCCGACCGAATCCCAACCACTGATAGAACGATTTTGGTTGTTCCCCATTTCAGCATTGAAGTCTCCCATCACCGTGATAAGGCTAGTAGCTGGGGCTAGTTCTAAGATTAGTTCCAAATCGTGCCGTAAGGTGTTGCGTTCTTCTTTTCCAGAAGAGCTAGTAGGAGCATAAATACCAGCTACGTATGGACCCCTCCTCCATCCCATGCGTGGAAAAGCAATAGCTGATACTCTGGCCGATGTTTGATAAATAACTGCTCCCCCCGCTTGCCACCAATTCCACCATACTTCTGACATCAAAAAACGATTTTTTGCCTATGAACCAAATACCAGGTCTTACCTCTATGCCGGTATGTTCGGACGCCATCGTCTCGAAACATGAGATCGGTGAGGGTAATAAGACCCCATCTTTGTATTGCTATACGTGTAAGAATCTGGGTCTTGAGTTCTTGGTTAATGTACCCGGTAGTGGCCCCTAGTCCCCTAGTGTTCCATGTGGCCATGCGCCACTGTCTGAGACATTCCCGGTGTTCTTGTTGTTGCTGGAACATACGAAACCGAATGTGTCGTGTCTTGCGTTGTTTGGCCCTGTGTATTTGCTTACGGACTTTTGCTACCTTCCTACCTAAGGTGCGAGCTGCAGTCCTGCGCGGTTTGGATTGTAGCGCTTGTTGACATTTCCATAGTGCAGTAAGCGATTTAGAATTTGATGATGATGTCCGCGACGGTGGTAGCCGCAACCATGGTCGACTGGTCCCTGCACTCCGACATGGGCATGGGCGCGTCGACCTGTGCGAAGATGATGAAATATACCAATGTCAAACCGCCAGGGTTAGTGTGTGCATGCAGTGATTGGCAGTGTGCTGTTATCCAGAGGCGACCACTCTCATGGGTGTGGGAAAATTGACGCAAATTTTATTGTAACACGAGCAAAACTGAATGTGTTGTTTAACATTGGTTGCAGGGGCACGAAACCCACCAGTAATGTAGTGATATATAACTATAAGCCGCAAAACCTAAAGTGATCGAGGCGACCAAGCCACTTGGTAGGGAAACACAAACATGACAAGGGAGAACCCGACGTGAAGAACAAATGGGCAGACAAAACCAGGCTCGCCAGAACCTTGGAACCGACCCGTAGGTATACGGTTCCACCTTGGAGCGGATCCGATAGATCCAGACTCCGACCTTGGCGGCCGAATCAAACAGACACCAACCGAGCAGGGACACCAGAGCAAATCAAACCAGGGCAGGGGGTAGAAAGGGGGGCAAGAGAGGGGCAAGGGATCAGCCACGAGACATATACCGAAAAACCAAATGGGGGACCATGAAACAGAGAGAAACTTGCGCCTTGGTGTTTTCATCCATGTGCATCTTGGGTCCTTGTCCGATGTCACTGTTGCCTTTTACCTTTTCCTCCACCCTTGCCCTGCCCATGGCGACCTTTGCCTTTGACTTTGGGCCCCTTGCCACCCTGTCCCTTGTTCTGCGTGTGCTCTCTGCCATGGGCCCCTGTCGGGCAAAAGTTGGAGGGTGGCATTGCTACCTTGTTCCACCTGAACCTGTTTGATGACGTACAGGGTCCAGTTAATAGACTCTTTGATCTGCTGGAAGCGCAGCCTCGAGGGTTCCCCTGGGCGTAAGCGCAGGGTGAACCCTGTTCCTGCCTTGCTAACCCACTCCACCATGTTACCCAAATTGAAACTTTCGGCGATGGAATCTCGCGCCACCTTTGCAGGCCAGGTGCGTTTATTGTTGGACAGTGTATCCGACTTGGCTTTGAGAACAGCTTCATCCAAATCCAAACCAAACACTGTTTTGAGTTCTTGGTTAAGCCCCTGTTCTGCCCGTTGACGCAATTCCCCCCTTGGTGCTCCCTCGTTTTCCATTGCTGCCCAAAGTTCCGCCAGTGTTGCGCTGTGTTCCACCCTGATATACCTGTATGCTTCTGCTGCTTCCAAGCGTTGCTCCATGCGATCCACCCTGGGGACCAGAGCAGCCAACTGATGCTCATGATCATCCAACCTTTTCACCACCTCATCCAACTTACGTTTGCATTCATTTGCGTTGGCCATATATGGCATGGCTTTGACCCCCGTCCCTGGTTTTGACCCCGACAGCGGTACGTATGTGTTTGACTATTTGAAAGATATCCGTGACATTAGGTGTGGACAGCGCTGCGTTAGCTTCGTCTGCTTTCATGCTCAGCCAATCGCTTTCCCAGGACTTCAATGTGTGGGCTTTGATTTTCTAGCATGTTGTAGGGCTCGTCGAGCCACGCGACGTTGTGCCGCATCCCCATTGGTTCGCGCTGTTTGGTCTTGTTGTTTTGCAAAGGTGATGTCTGCATCTAACCGTTCTATATCTGTCCTACGATTCCAGAGCCAGGGGGCTCCTTTGTGTGAAGCTACCACCCCACATACTTCGACTGCTACTTCTCGACAAATTTTACACAGAGCATTCCAGTTGTGATTCATCTCTTCCGAGTTCGTAAAAGGTTGAAGGTCCCGCAGACGGGCCTCGACCTGCTGTGTCCAGGCCTGTCGATTACGGTCTGGCTCAGTGCCGCGTCCCCTAAGTTTGGAAAGGTCAGGCTGCTGAGTTTTGTTGGAAGACCGTACGCTACTGGCCCACTGTTTCCCAAAACGGAGAGTGAGTTCTACTGGGTTGTGATCAGTGTATGGTGTCCAAGGCGTCGCAACGCTGGGTCCTTCCAATAAGATACGACCATGTTGTACATGCCATAAGTCCACTGCCCTACACAATATATGGTCTAGCTCATGTTGGGCATTGAAACGCGGGTGCGTCCATGTGTGTCTGTGGCGACCTTGGTACCTGCTGACTATATCCCGAAGGCTGAAACGAGAAAACCACTGCCTCCATTCACGGCCAATGGCGGTGAGTCGGGTAGTGCCAAAACATCCAACAGTGTCATGTCCTGCAATTGTGGTGTCTGCATTATTACCAAATTCTGCATTAAAATCCCCAGCTAGGATGTGTAAACTAGTGGCCGGAGCCATTTGTCGTAGTATCTCGACTTCCTGTCGCAAAAGGCGACGTTCTCCAACTCCCGAATCACTGGTAGGTGCATATAACCCGATGATATACAAGCCTCGACGCCAGCCACGACCCGGTAACGCGAGAGCCACGGCTCGGGTACCTTTGTGATATGTCACACTGCCTCCTTCGACCCACCACTGGTGACACCAAGCATCCATCAGGAAACCAACTTTGTGATGGATGACTAAAAAGCACATCTGACCATTGTGTGTATATTTGCGGACCCCATTATCGCGAAATTTTAGATCTGTCAACACCGCACAGGTCCAGTCATGGTCTACCATATGTTGTAAAAAACACCTGATCTTGAGTTCTTGATTGATGAGGCCCGTAGGGGCACCAAGACCCCGAGTGTTCCAAGTAGCCATTTTTAATTTCCTGCATCTCTGCCTATGATGTCGTTGTTTATTGTGCGCTGTGCGCAAAATGGCCCGAGTTCGCGCGGCTTTGCGCTGCTTGATTTGACGGTTGACCCGAGCTAAGCGGCGTCTAAGAAGACGAGCTTGTTTCGCTGTTCGCGTGCCCTGAACCTGCAATGTAGTGGCTAGACGGTTTTGTAAAGCCATTTTTCTATGTCTCAACTGCCTATGTCTCTGCATAGTCGCGAAAAGAAATAGACGCGTGTTGAAAATCTTTGCTCTGAAGTGGAAGTATCCCACTAGCTGACCAAACAAAGACTCAGATACACAGAGAACCCTGCAGTTCCGGAGAACCGAAAGGAGATGTGCACAGGCACCGAAGGGTCTGCCAGGAAAAACTCACGACCGCGTAGAGTCCTACACGGTAACGAACCGCGGACCAGGCGGGTCGTACCCCAACCGCTGGCCCCATGGCCTCCAAGGAGAGCACGACACACAAAAACGCGGACGCGCCCAACCGCCCCGAGGGTTTGGACCGAACGGCAGATCAATGTTGAGTGACAATACCGCTTCGCACAGAACACCACAGAGCTGCCCCTAATGCCAATCGATACCATCCAGGCGAAGACTCTCACAATCGTGAGTTGGGATTGGCCTACGCGGCTATAAAACTTAGGTTAGGCGGCGTAATCGTTGTCGAAAAATCCGATTATTCTACCAAGTATACTTCCGCCGATGATTACGCTGAACTAGACATGGGAGGCTGCACAACTACAGTCAAAATGGTATGAGTGAACTGCAAATGCATGTCAATTGGTCCGTCTCTCAGAATGCAGTCAAACTTACAGTGCAGCCGAGCGTAGTTGTCCAGGCGCCGACCACGGGGAGGTCGAAGTCACTCGTTGGCGCCCCGATTTGGAATTTCCCGGTCATCTCTGGGGTAATGTAACCCATTGTTGCCAGCATGGAAATTCGACCATGCTTCTTCTGTTTGTCCTCCGGGGAGGCGTCCCACACCCACTCGCAGGGCATGTGACAACACAAAGGGCCAACGGCCCGGGTAGATGGCAAGGCAGCCATCAAACTCTGTAGCCAGGTCTGGTGACCTAACAGGGCACAGGCAGTCAGGAAAACTGCAACCATGGGTCTTGCGCAAAAGACAGCTTGGAATTGGAGGGCAGGACGCCGACTATGTAGCACTTATCAATTGGGTGGACATCTATGGAAAGGAACCGAAGGCTGGTTATCTTGGAAGCATTGCCGAAAAGGGAGCGCTAATCGTTTGGATGCGAATGCAACGTTTGCAAATTCAGGTTTGGTTTATCCCTCTGCTCTGCTGCAGGTCTCTCTCTAAAATTTACGTATGCGCTTCCAACCTTGCCAGTGCTGCTGACGTTCGCACAGGGAGCAAGAAGGAATCTGATCAACATCGGTAGGAATGGACAATTGGTGCTGAAAAGTTCTTTGAGAATTATGCTCATTAGCAATCTTTATACGCTGGTTTAGGACAACACTAGTCCTTTGTCTACCAGGTAAGCAGGCACCCTGGTCGACCATTCCTCCGCAGCTGTCGTTCAACATCCTTGAAAGATTAACCGAAGTTTTTGGGCAGTTTTTACACACAAATTTTGCATCTCTGCGATTGAGATCAAGGACATGTTTACTGAGGGATTCGGCATCTCTGTTATGGAAAAGAATTTTCTCGGGTCTTTGGCGGTCTCGCCAATTAGCTGTAGCATCCAAAGTGATCTTTTCTTGTTCGTCCCATTCCACATTTATTATTGTGGCTTTATGAGATTTGACGATACGCCGAGTTGACTGGGTTTGGTAGCTCACCGGTGCAGGCTGCTTGCCGGTGAGTCTTCGTCTTGCAACAGGGTTGAAAAGTTTTGGTGGAGCATGGTGTAGTTTCACAAAGGTGCTGCGACATTTGATAGTGGAACAGTTACCGGAAGATTGTACAATGTCGAGGAGATGCTGATGTACAAACTGAGGATGTCTTAACTTAGGGCGCTGGGAAAATCCAGTCATGCGTTGAAACCCTAAAGTTGTGAGGGAATCACAATGTTGAAGAAATTCAGCTGGGCACAACTTACTTTTACAAATAACCGCCATGCGCTTGCTGGCTCTCATGAAATAGGAAGCAATGCTGGAAACGGTCAACTTGCTGGTGTTTTGGTCCGGCATATGCAACGGACAGTGCGTGCAAGCGTGGTAATCGAGGGCTAATTCGAACCATGACATGGTTTCATGACTTTGTGAGTCTTGCTGCCATTGGAGACTGCTCCAGAACCAGTGCAGTGGATGAAATACATTTAAACCAAACAGCCATTCGCTTCCCTTGCTATATCTTCTCCAATTTGGTGGTATGGTACCTTGAAAGAAAGTATGGCCTATAAAATCAGTGTCATGATTCCAAGGGTACGAAGGATATAAAGACTGCAGGTCTCTACTTTGGCTACTGTGGGGAACAACTTCATCCTCACTGTGCTCATCAGCTGGAAAGTCGGCATTTTTTTCTGCTATGTCGCACGGCGCATCAGCTGGTTGCATTCCAGCTTGTGCTTTTGCTTTGTCACGTGCTTGTGTTATGGCAATCATGGTTCTTTAGCTTCTTCTACAGAACAGAAAATCTCATTGCCGAAAGCACTGGAAGGCAGAAGTGCGCAATGCCTGGTGCAGGGTGGCAGTGAAAAAATTCGATTTCCCCACTTAAGGAAGAACTCTGATCGATGCTGCGTCCAAGCAGGGCATTTCCAGAAAAAATGATCATGGTCTTCAATTTCTTGTTGTTGACACCATTCACATTGAGGCGAGGTGACCATGCCAGCTTTGAATAATCTTTCGGCTGTTCGGCTGGTTCCAGTTAAAATGTTTCGCAAAGTGGCACGTTCAAACAAATTCAGCAGCAGTCTAGTGTTAGTCTTATATGCAAAAGGAGGACCTCCCTGGTAATCTTTTCTGGTGTGAATTGGTGAGTCTGTTTGAATTACCATTTGACGAATGGCTTCACGAAGAGTATGCTGAAACTTGCCTTTATTGGATGAGAGTAGGTTCAGTTCCGAACTGGAAGAAGTTCTGATCAGGAAAGGTTCACTCCAGTCGGCTTCTAAAGATTCAACTACTGATCTGATCCTGGCAACAGGTCCGAATTTGAGGTCAGTGATATTCCAAGTTAATCGGAATAGGTCGTGAAGATCAGGTCGCCTGATAAGTAAACGACGTGCAAGATTCAAGCAATGGTATATACTAGCTGGTTGTAACAACAAGCGGAACGCTGGAACAATATGCGTGAAAGTGATGGCAAACGATCGGCACCAGGTGTTGCCGTTCCAGAGTAATGCAACCACTGAGCTTCGTAAAGAATTATGTTGCGCAAGTGTACATTCTTGGATTTCACTGCCAAAAATGGCGCCTGCAAAAACTGACTCTGCTAGTCTTACCTTGTGGGAAAAACGAAGCGGCGCTGACCGAATGCGGTGCAATTTTTGCAACACGTTGCAGATACGAGAGGAGCGAGTTGTCAATTGCGGCACTCCTCTCGTGGTGATGACAGAACCTACCAATCGAAATGATTGCTGACATGTCAATACAGGCAACTGGTGAACTTCGGATATTTCCCGATTGATAGCATCTTCCAGCGACTGAGTGGTGCCGAAGATGAA